CTTACTAAGCTGCAAGTGCAAGAGACCAAAACAATAGCATGACCTGACAGTCTCAGGCATGTAAGCACAACCAACACTTCGATTTCAGATGCGCAGCTGAGTGCAGCTCACTCAGAAAGGGAACAATTGGGGTTTAAGTGTTATGTTTGTTTTTTCTTCAAAGACTATGTTTTTTGCTGGCTGAATTCTACACTGGGGAAAAAAAATGTTTCATCAACACTAAAATAGGTTGGAGTGGTTCTGCAACACCTGATGGATTGGCTGAGCCTTCCTCTCACACAATCAATTAAATAAGATATGTTCCATACAATAAGAGCCATGGAGACAACTTCAGAACAAAGCAAACCTCTTAGAATTGTCTCTCAGAATAAGAACTGAAAATCTTGTTATCCTAGAGAGCACAGAAAAGGCACCAATGCACAAAAGAGCCGGAATCCCCTCATCTTCCTCCAAAATATGAGGATGTAAACTGAGAGCCTCAGAGCTGTAACTCTGAGATGCTGTTCAGGTATCACCTAATCCTGGACACATCTGAACTCCTCAGCGCTCACACTCCAGCCTCAGTCTCCCCTGCACACCCAATGTCCCATTTCATGTGCAGAAGCAGCTGGGCTGTGGTTTGGCAGGCTCATACCCACATCAGGAGGAGCTCTAGAAACCCAGAGATAAACCAAGCAACTTCAGGCACAGCAGGAGTGACTCCTGACTGTAGACAGTCGGGTTCACAGCTGTGTTTCCACTCTACACCTAAGACCAAAGCCTCCCTCTGCTCACTGCAGAGACCCAGTCAGCGAGACCTGACTGCTGGGGATAAACAGCCCCAGGTGCGCTCCTCTCCCTGCCTCTCCCAGGGCCTCGATTCACTATTATTTTCTGAACACAGTCTCTTCCTGACTAATTAAATGCAGTGGGGATGGCTTGAAAGGAGAAATCCAGGAGGTGAATTTCTGACGTTCCTTCTAGTCCCTTTACAATGGCCCCATAAAAAAGCCCTCACACAACCCTGCACCACCCACACCCCCGACCTTGCTGTGACAGTAATAAGGGGAGGAGGAGCGTTCTGATACCGTCTGGCCTGAGGAATGTACTCACAGGCAGCTCCACTTCATGTACCTGATTTATAACAAGGGTCAGAATAATTCCCAAGCAGCTCCTGCATCAGGGAGCAAACTAATTCCTTTCCTCTCTCCTTGGCTGCGCAGCCCAGAGTCCAGCTGCACCGGAGATTCCAGCTCACAGTCTATATTCTGCATCATAAAAGATACAAGAGAGAAATCTAAACTAGAGAAGTAATAACCTGTAAACTAATAAACCTACCCAGCACTTTGATAGCGAGGCACTCCCCAGAGCAGGGATTTTTAATGGGAGTCCTGAAACACTGTGTGTCTATGTTTGAGAGTAGTGGGAAATATTTCTGATGCTCTGTGGATCTTACACATTTGTTCTTATAAAATCAGTTCAGATAAATGCAAAGACTAATAGAAAAGCAGCCTCCTTCCAGTCTACACTCTTAGAGGCACTTAAGCAGCTTAAAAAGAAAAGCAGTACGAAACTGCTCAAATAAATAATAATGAAGGTGTTAAGCTGCAATATTAGGAGTAGTTTTGCTTGTCAAAGTATGGGGCTGCACAGTCATTGATTTTCTCTTATAACTGAGATAGGGACATGCATGACTTATGTTTCTTTGGCAGCGAGTGCATGGGAATGGAAGAAGGAATCTTGAAATCCTGTGAAATCTCCAGCTGAGGATTTGATGGCTCTGAAACTGCTGTTGGTCTTGATTCTTTATTTCCCTCGAACCGTAAAATGGATTATATTAACAATCTGTTATGATGAAAGACAATTTATGAAGCTAAATGTAACAATGTTTGCAATGTGATCAGGGATCTGTGGAGGAAAATGTTATAGAAACCAGGAATGTGAGTATGGATATAGATCCTTCTTAGCCAGAAATACTGGGAAGCAGATGACAGGTAGACAGACCCCCCTCAGGAAAGGTCCCATTACCTGTTCTGGTGTGTATTCTCAAATTCCCACCCCCTGTCTCAGTCACACAGACAACAGCAGTCTTCTTAGTTCATTTCTTTAATGTATTCACTTTCAGTGATGAGGATTCAGTGCTCAGTTAATTCAGCTTACTATATTACACCTCAGCTACATACCAAAATGAGACATCTAGTTGACTGAAACTGTGAAAGACAACTTTTTTTTGGTCCCAAACTAATGCAAAACAGCAAAGAATGGTGTTTCCATGTAAATCTGAACTACAGTGGACTCCCTTTGTTCTCCTCTCATGTAAAAAATAAAATTAATTCTGGCAAGGATGGCAGGAAGAATCTAGTCCTTTGTGTCCTGAAGTAAAGTTACTCTCTGGAGAAGGCAGAGCAGGAATAAACTTCTTTAAGAGTCAGGAGGTTTTACTGACAATAGCTGCTATTATCTCTGTCAAACAGGCAAAGCCTCGAGTGATTGTGGTAAGGAAGAAAGAGGAATGCTGTTTATTCAATGCTGGAAAACAGACTATTTGCCAGACTGCAAAGAGTACCGAAAAGGTATTGAGTCTCTCTGTTTGAATTAACCACAAAAATAACTTGCAAAATTAAAACCTTTTCCATGGATCTCTGCTGCTCTCTAACGGTGCCTTAAAGGATTCTCAGCACAAAGTCAACGTGCTCCTCCTGTAATCAAGTTTTGATAAAACTTTTAGTGCAAAACAAACTAAAGAAGTATTCATGAGGTCCTTCAGAGATGTTATCTGAACAGAGAACTCACAGGTCAGGTAGCTATTGCTATACCCATGGCCATTTGGGTGTGATGAGGATGCTGGTAAAGGAGAGCTAAAACATGGGAATGCAGGTTTCAGCTGTATTTTAGATGCAGCAATTGCAGGAGTCTGGGAGGTTGCAAACTGCTGCAAAATGCCAATTTTCAGGGCTTTGTATAAATTTGAATACAAATTTTTTATTAATGAGTACCAATATTTGAAAGGGAAAAAAAATAGCACTGTATCAATTGGGTATAATTAATAGAAACTAATGTTTGCACCTGGGACACACACATTTGGTTTCACTCTCCTCACACAGATGTCTTTATTTTATTCCCCAGTAAAGCTCCATCGGGCATGCTCACTTGGCTAATGGCAAGGCCACTTCCATGACCCACACCAGCCTTGTTTTCACAGAATCACAGAATGGTTTGGGTTGGAAAGGACCTTAAAGATCATGTCATTTCACCTTGCCATGGACAGGGGCACCTTCCACTATCCCAGTTTGCTCCAAGTCCCGTCCAACCTGGCCTTGGACACTTCCAGGGATCCAGGGGCAGCCACAGCTTCTCTGGGCACCTGTGCCAGGGCCTCAGCACCCTCACAGCGAAGGTTCTTCATAACAGCCATTCTAAATTTCTTCCCTTTGAGTTTAAAAGCATTCACCTTGTCCTATCTCTGTCTGCCTACGTAAAAAGTTGCCTCCTTAACACAAGCCCCGTTCATAAGTCACTTTTATTTACATGGGAAAGCACGCTTGGGATCTTACAGTGTGGCCTAACGCCAGCCAGTGGGAAGTGATTGTATCCCATGGGGAAATGGAGGGAAAAAGAAACACAATATTCACAGCCCTCCTAGGGCCACCAGGGTCACCTGTCCCCTCACACGCCACCCCCTCATGGTGCAGGGGGTCCTGCCCTGTGACTCCTCCTGACCTCCTCCACGTTTTCACCTGAAACGGGGAGAAACCGGGCATGGGACCGGACTGGGGGAAGGGGTTCTGTAGGAGCTGCAGGTCCGGATGGTCGGGACTGAGAGATCTCTAAAGCCAGGTGTTGGAACTTACGGTTTATTGGGTAGAGCGTGGGTGAAAGGGCCCTGCTTGGAGCTGCCAGCCGCAGCTTGGAGGAGGCCTGTGAGAACAGGAGGGGAAGAGTAAAAGGAGTAAAGAGAGGGCAAGGGGTAAGGGCAGTAAGATCAGTAAGAGCAAAAGAGAGTGAGGGTCCGGTTACAATACAATAAATCTTCTTCTGTGTTGAATATTCTAATTCTCACTAACCAATCTAATACAAGATACAAATTCTATAGCATTTACATACAGCCTATAAAGATCCCTACATTACCATAATGTGTTACACTTTAAACCCTAAAAACTACTCTTTGGACTCTCTTTACCAAGCTAGTAGGGTCTTTTCTGACCCTTGGACCTGTCTGCAAGCAGAGGGGATTTTTCAGTCAAGAAGGGACTATTTTCAGCTGGCCATACTGTTGTTTTCTAGTCTTTTAGTAACTACGGTTTGGTATCTCAAAGACGGCTTTCATTTCGATCTTGCTTATAGTTTCTATATTCTCAAAATCTTTTGCCAGGCAATCATATTTATAAGGTTTTCTATTTTCATCTTTCCCAACAGGGCTCATCCCCGGAGAAGGCGTTCATCCCCGGGAGAAGGGGTTCATTCCCAGAGAACGGGATCATCGGATCATTCCCGGGAGAAGGGACCGGGTGCGGCCGCTCCGCCCGGGGCCGGCGAGGGCCCGTGAGGGGAGCACGGGGGGTGCCGGAGATGGCGCCCTGCCGCGCGCGAGCGCAGCGGGTAATGGCGGCGGCGCTGAGGGAAGGGGAGGGGACAGGCCGTGAGGGCAGCGGCTGCCCCGCGCCATCGCCCCCCGCCGGCTGCCGGAGGGACGGAGGGAGAGAGGGAGGGAGGAGGGAAGGGAAAGGAAAAGAAAGGCACCGCTTCCGCCACGGCGGGGCGGGCCTGGGCGGAGAGCGGCGGCGCGGCGGGGCTGGCAAGGGTAGGGGCGGTGAGGGCCGCGGCCCGGCGGGATAGAGGGTGGCTGTCTCCCTGTCTCCATGTCTCTCTCAGGAAAAGCCTGGTGGAGACGGAGTGGAAAGCAGGGCTCGAGGTTTCCCCTCAGTACCAGCTACCCTCGTTAGCGGGGCCCCTGTCAGAGGCAGCCGGGCCATGCGGGGGCAGTGATGCCATCGCTGCGGGGCTGCGATGCCCCCCCTCAGTCAGGGGTGCGGGTTTGCACTGAAATTAACTTAGCCGTGGGTATTTCAGATTATAGGAAGGATTCAGTCTTTCTGTAGCCCGTAGCGCGTATTTTTTATCTCATGTTGTTACAGTGTTGTCGTCGTTTTGTTCTTTTTCGGAAGCGATGGAAGCGAGTCCCATCGTGACGTCCAAGCAGCGAGAGGAGGTGGTGCACGGGGTGCCCACCGAGGTGGTGTGCACGGCCTTCTCCAACTCGGTCCTCGTGGTGGTCACACAGTACGGCAAGATGGGCACCATCGTCTACGTGGACCCCAACACCATCGGCGACAACGTGGGCAGGCCCTCGCTCACCACAAAGGTGCTGCTGGGCAAGGATGAGGTGAGGTGAGAGCGGATGCGAAGCGCAGAGGCAGCAAGGATAAGGGGGAAATGTAGTAGGTGGGGCTGTGCAAGTTGCCAGGGAGTTGATGAATCACAGCAGTTAAGCAGTGTTTGAATAGTGATAAGATTAATTTTAAAATGAGGAAAGAGGGGCTCATCAGAAAAGTATGTGCGCTCGTCTGCTCTTGGACATAAAAGTTTAACTAACCGTGAGCGGTTTGGCGATCTGCTGTTTTGTGTCCCACAGGATATGGATTGCTTCTGAATGTTTATGGAAAGTTGATAAAGCTCTGTTGATTTAAGGGTTGCAAGATTAAATATGCAGCCATTGATAACCTTTTTGGGTTTCTGTTCCAGTGAGTTTGTTTTCCTTTTCAGGTCAGTTTTCCCACCCCCATCCTCCCCCACTATGCCAGCCCCATAATGGACTTGAGTTGCCCACTCCCAAGTGTGCCTGCCAGCACCTTCCCTTGATAAAGTTTAATTTGTTTTTGCTCCAACAAAATGAGGTTTTTAATCGACCATTTCACAAAGCTAGAGAGAAAGCAGAAGCAAATGTGTTTCACAAAGCATCAACTGGTCAAACATTAAAAAGAAAGTTACAGAGCTACAAGATTATGAGGCTTTCCATCAGAGTTGAAGCTATCACATGTTACTTGCTAGCTTTAACTAGAAAAGCTGTAGCAGGACAAGTTCCTTATTCTATCCATGACTTCCCCTTGTGGAGTTCTTTCTCTTGAGCAATAGCCTTCCCTTTTTGGATGGGAGATATTTTGCTTCTTCTGCTTTGATATCTGCTAATGCTGAACACCTCCACCCCCAAGCTTATTTTGTGTTTTATTTGGAAATGGGAAGTGCTATGTTTACTTTGTTCCATTCTATTTTAAAATAATTTTAACTGACTTAACTGATCTAAACTTCAAGAAAAGACTTTCACTAGTTTGCTGCTTTCCTGCTTGTCACTGTTAACATCTTTCTTAGGGATGTTGCACACTTCCAAACACCAGCTAAAATTAAGCAAACTCATCCTTCTGACACATACACAACTATGGGTGTAAATAAAACCTAGATAAGCTGGGTGGTTCGAAGCTGTACTGGGTGAGGTTGAGACTGGACATTAGAAAACATCTCTTCACTAAGAGGGTGGTCAGACACTGGAACAGGTTTGAGGTGGTTGATGCTCTGAGCCTGTCAGTGTTTAAGAGCCATTTGAACAATCCCCTGAATAATGTTTTAACCTAGTCAACTCTGAGTTAGTCAGGCAGTTGGACTAGATGTTGTTGTAGGTGCCTTCCAAGTGAAATAGTCAATGCTATTCTGATCTGTTCTTGTTAAAGAAACCTCACGGAAAAGGTTATATCCCTTTTTTTTCCTCTTTCAGCGTCACTTCTTATTTCTGGTTCTCATTATTCTATTAAAATAAAAAGCTACATGTCTGTAACACCAAGCATACAAAAATTGTGTATGTAACACCATTTGGGGGTCTCTAGGAATTACAAAAATAACAGCTTTTTTCCAGAGCTTGTCAGTGGAACATCCCCTCTTCTGAACAAGTTTTTAAACAAAAAACTGTGTTGCAAACTTCTTTAGAAACCTGGCTGTGAAGGAAATAAAGGCATTTGGATGCACAGCATTTCATATAATTTAACACTGGTGCCATGGTTCAGGTGGGAGGATTATGGAAGGAAAGCTTCTCTGTACTGATTTTCCAAGATTTCCAGACAGTACTGAACTCAATTCAAGTGCAGCTCCAGTAAAGTCATTTCAGGGTGGTGTGGGTGGCTGGCACACTCATGGGACCAAACTCTTCCTTTTTAAGCTGGTTGAGAAAGTGCTTTCTAAAGTTCTGTATTCCATGGCTTGCCTTTGCTGACCATGGTGGAACAGCAAACATCAAGCTCAGTCTGAGTTCAGGATCAACAGGTTTTCCACATCACTCTGGGACTCTTCCTCTCCTAACTCCTGAGGGAGGGCTCACCCATCTGTAGAAATGTACATCTGTATCCCTTTGCTTTTCAGCCCCTCGTTCATGTTTGTGCCAAAAACCTGGTGGCATTCGTGTCGCAGGAAGCTGGGAACAAACCTGTTCTCCTCGCCATGGCTTTAAAGGACAAAACCATGGAAGGAATACAGGCGCTACGAGAAGTGATCCGAAGTTGCCAAGTGTGGTGAAGTTGTGCCATCTGGATTCAAGGAAATGATCTTGAGTCCATGAGTCATCACCACCTATTTAAAAGGACTAGAAATGAAAATGCTGGAATGTCTTTCTGGTGGTTTTGGACGTCCTGAGGAATTTAATGAATTTTTCTCTACTGTGTAGAATATTTGTGGGTTTTGTTACTGGGACAGGTTTGCAAGTCCATATAGACAGTGGTGAGACGAGAGCAATTGCCTCAACATAGGAGAGAAGTGCTACTTTTATCTTGTTGGATGGATCATTTATTTGGGAAAGGGCTCGGCTCTGCACATGTGTCCTGAGGAGCAGCAGATGCCAAGCTCTGTAGCTGTGCTGTACCGCAAAGGGGGAACACCCAGTGCAGAGGGAATAAAAGAAACATTGTCAAATCAAATTTTACCTGTTTTCTTTTTTGCTCTGTGAGAATTACTTCAACTGAAATACAAGCCTTGGTAAAAAAATCAACAGTTGTATAATGGGAGAGATTTTCTTGCCTTTTTTAAGGAAATGAGTCGTAGATGGCTGCTTTTGTCCTTATGTCCATTCCTTTCTGGATGTAGTCTGAATTCATTTTCTACTTTCACTCTGATTTTAAACAGAGGCAGATAATGATGCTCTGCAAATTTCATGAAAGCTGATGTCAGGGTGGAAGACAGGAACCCAAAACAGTGGTAAGAAAATAATCTCTGCCAATGGATTACGTGCTACCAACTCATTGGAGAAACAGAACATCCATAGGCTGATCACCTGCAATGAGCATCTGTCTTAGGAGATGTGGGGACAGGGGGTTTGAGGAGTTACACAGGGTTGTTTCTGCCAAATCATTTACAGAAAGTGTCAGATTAAGTTGTATGAGCTGATACAAAGATTAATAACCAAACTTTTGCCTTTTGCTTGGAAAGCACATTTGTTTTTACCTCTTGTAATAAACAACAACAAGTAGTAAATTTTTAAGTGAGCTGTTAACACACTTCTGTCACTTATGAACTTGATAGCACAGACAGAGGCCAGGTCTTGGATTCTGGGCAGGGAGGAGTTGTGCTAAGACCAGTTGGTACAGCAGAACCAGCACAGAGCCTGTGCCCACCCCATGCTGATCCAGCGGCCAGGCCATTTCTATTGCTAAAAAATCCCCTAGAAGTAGAAAAGCAGAAAATGGATTTCGAAAGGACTCTTTTCTCTGAAGTAAGGGTTATTTACAGCATTTAAAGGGATTATGAGAAATGAAACTCTTTTTAAAAATACATTCAAACACTGCAAGGCTTCCAGCTGCCCTTGACAAGAAACTTCATCTAAAAATAATTTTCCAAACCGTGCTTCCAAGAATCAAAGATTCGCATCTGTCAGAACTATAAATTTTTCCTCTTTTACACTTCCCTTTTTTTTGTCTAGGAAGGCTGAGAGAGGCATGTGGAATTCGTTATTGTCAATCTTGGTTTGCTAGTAGGGATTCTCTCCTGACACAGAACTGGTGTCAGGAGAGAACTGGTGTCCATAGCTCTAGCAGCTTGAGGAGAACATACATGAATTAGCAAATTGGATGGAAATTGCATCTTCCACTGTGGTGATACAGTGGCATACCACTGCTGTGCCCTAAAGAGCTGAGTGTTGCTGTCTAAAAGCCAGGCACAGGTTAAACAACTTCATTTCCTGGCTGCGTATGTGCCACTAGGTCTGCACAGGGCAGCAGAGGAAAGGATGTGGGTGAGGAAAGGACATGGAAACCTTTCTGATTTGATGCTCGGAGCCAGGGCAGACTTACCTTGCTGCCTTTCCATGTGCGATAAATGCACGAGCAATTGGTCCTTCGACTTTGCTCCTCTCTGCTGCACAGTAAACCAAGGGGAAGGCCTGTCCAAACAACAGGCACAAGGTGCCACCAGCTGCCTGCCTTTCAGTCATCGCTCTCCTGCAGGCAGGGATTAATTCCCCATTGCTGGGAAAGCTGCCTCTGCCACCCAGGCAGAGCTCTTGCCCTCGGTCGCAGGACGTGTGCCGGGTGGGCGGCAGCGGCGTCGGGCCGCACCGCGGCTTTCCATCCGTGTTTGCTTTCCGGGCGTGGGTGCCGAGCGCGGCGGACTGGAAAGGTAAGTTGGGTAGCTTTTCTAAGGGAGACAAAGCCCGACCTGCTGCTCCAGCTCCCGCGGGGCCCGGGGCGCAGGGAGGGCACTGGCAGGGTGAGCCGTGCACAGCGAGGCGGTGCCGGTAAAGGTAAGCGGGGCGCTAGTGGGATCCGGGGCGTAGGGAGGGCCAGTGGGGTGCTGGCAGGAAAAGTGGGACGCTGACGGGGCCCAAGGCGAGTGGGGCACTGGTGGGAGCCGGGGAGCAGCGAGGGTAATTGGGGTAGTGGCAGGGCCCGCGGCCAGCAGGCGGGCGACGCTTGGAGAGTGTCCGGAGGAGGAGTCTCCAGCGGTGCAGGTGGAGGAGGGCACGGGGGATGAAGAGGCAGATGCACGGCAGTCTGACTCCCTCCAGAAGCAGCCCCAAAGGGTGAGTGGGGTCCTGGGGGATGCACAGCAGCTGGGGAAAACCCTACAAATCAGGGCTGACCCAGCCATTGGTTCTGAGCACCTGTGGGAGCCGCTGGGAGGGCAGAGCCTCCTCTAAGAGCCCTGTGCCTTCGTCATGCAGTCCTCCAGATAGGCTTCAAGGAGGGCTCGATGCTGCCCTGCCGCGATTTGTAGCTGTGTGTTGTAGGTCCTTCCTCCTGAGTGGCCTGATGGTGGTGTGGAGAGGCTGGTCAATAATCCGAATGTCCTGACTTTATCTGAAAGCAATCAGGAGAAAAGCCATGTCTCCTGCTCTGGTAGGGCTAAGCCTGAATGCTCCCCTCCCCGGGATATGGGTCAGGGATCTCAGAGGCACTGCTGGGGGGCTGCGAGGGCTGACCTTTCCCTGCTGACTTGCTTCACCCCACAGGGGGCTGCTGCTGAGATGGGGATTTGTCCTAGGTGCTGCAGGACACACGGAGGGATGTGAGCTGGGAGTCTGGGCTCTGGCAGCCGGCAGATGGAGGGGAATCCCTGGCAAGGTGAAAAGCCCCATTTGCAGGTGGCCTGCTCGAACACAAGATTCACTGCTCAGTTTATCTTCTCAGTTCTCACTTAGCATCTCTAATATTCCAGGGAGTGTGTGTAACAGGTAGACAGTCTATGGCAGGTACCTGCAAGGTGTCTGAAAACAGACAGATTGGATATGGCTTAGTCCCATCGAGGAGCTGAATTTGGCAGCTGATATTATTCCTGGTGTCTCCTTGCTGCCTTTGTTTTGGAAGCAAATGGCTCTCTAACTGCATTGAATTGCCTGACTACCTTGCACGGCTGGGATCTAATTACCTGTGGATCTGGGAGCCCTGTCTCTGAGCGGCACCGAGGCTTTTGCTTTTAATGACTTGCTCTGCCGTGTTCAGTGTGACAATGTTGGGGAGGCAGCCAGGACTGGCTATTGGTGCCACCGTGCTCACACCGCGATGGCTGGGAAAGTTAATAGGAGATGGGATAACTTAGGCCAAGCATCTGTGGCATAGCACTTGGTTGAAAACAGAATAAATGGATCTAGTGAAGAGCACAGCTCTCTGCCATGTCTTGGGGAGTAAGCTGGATCACTAGAAAAGTTACTAGAAAAATACAGCTAGAAAGAGTGAGCTTTCACCCTGCTCTGTCATGATGCAGAGGCAAAGCGTGGTCAAATTCAGCCATTTACCCCCAGCCAGCAGCAGGGCAGCCCCCAGAAAGAGTGAAGAGTGATTGGGAAACAGGGCACAGCCAGACTCTCCTCTCCCTCCCTGTGCCACGAGCTATCTCTGTCCTCTTGTTAATGTTTAAAAGGCAGGTCCGGCAACATCCAAGTCTGTCCAAAGACCAGATCTGGCCCTGGCTTTCCCGGGATCCTTTTCCCTGCTGGCCGGGACAGACCACAGGACAGTGGCAGGGAGGAAGAACGCAGCTCCCTGCTGCCTGTGTAACACTATCGGCCCCGCTGTCCCTGCAGCCAGCTCCAGCTCTGCTCCCCGCTCGCAGCGCAGCTACTCCGGGGTGAGCTCCTGGGGCCTCGCCAGCTGCTGCCCGGGCATCTCCGTTTACACACAGCTTCTGCCAGGCGGAGCCAGGGAAAGGTATTTTTAGGGCTGTTGATCTGACACCAGCTGAGTTTCCTCTCCTGTGAGGTTGGGCTTCGGTGAGAGGGCATACAGGGAGCTGCAGGGTCAGCTCTTGCTTTGGTTTGTTTTCAGTGTTTAATTGGTCCGAGGTCATTCTCTACCACTCTTATCCATGGCAGATATTTTTATGCTTCTCTCCGGTGCATGCTTATAGTTTTACCCCAGGCAATAGTTACCCAGCCTCTAAAATATTTGTTTATTAACAATGCACTGAGAAGCATCTATATTGTTAGAGTTCAGCTTGCAGGTTGTTAGTTTTTTAAACTGATATTGTTATACTTGGGAAAAAGCAGCTTTCCATAGATTAGAGAAACCAAGAAAGAGAACCCAAACATGGCAGTTTATGCATCTGTTGGCCTTGAGATATGATGCTGCCCTATAAATAATTGCTTATTATTAGGTTGGGTCTTACTGTCTGGAGCCACAGGGTACACAGTGTCCGTATGCCCAGCCACCCTCTGCACCAGGAATGCTCAGTGCCTTGGGGCAGCCGGTGCCCAGGAGCACACACTGAGCAGGGAGATGCCATAGCACTCCTGAATCCCCAAAGGGCAGCAGCTCTGCCTCTGGCACGGCAGGCTTGCTCCCTTGTGCTTAATTTGGGCGCAGGAGGGGCCACTGGCTGTCCTTCAGATCTTGGGGTTGGAACTACTGGCACACTGACACCCTCACAATCCCGAAATAGCCAGGTGAAGAATGTGGGTGACACCAAACATCTGGTTTCTTGGGTAGTCCCAGGCTTTGCCCCCAGTAGGCCACACATGATGAAAGGAGCCAAATTTGAGGGGGAGACCTGGTGTTTTCTAGGCTCCCAAGGAAGATGACACAAGTGTCCTGACGGCTTGTTGGTAAGGGACTCTTTATTATCCTGGGTGAAGAATTGGTTTAATTCTTAAGTCTCTGGTTTCTGATGGAAAAGGGTCCTGAGCCACAAGTGTGAACTCACAAGGGCACAAATATGCACAGATCATTTCTTTTCAAGTGGGAGTGATTCCTGAGAAAGCAAGGAGCAAAGCTGGGAAGGACAAGTGTGCATTTTGGGAGACATGGGAACTGCATAGACCTCCTCAGGGAAAAGAAGTTCTGCTCTTGAAGGATATTTGCATTTTCCTGCCAGGAGAAGCAAACCTAATCATGGTAAAAGGGCTGGTGTGGGTGAGGGACACCCTGGAAAAACCCTGGGGAGGAGATAAACCTCGCAGGAGGTTTGTATATGCTGTGTGGGCTGGGAAATCTGCTGGGACCTTCCCTGTCTTTCTGTACCACTCCCCTTCCCTCTCCGTCTCTGCAGATGAGTAATGCCACACGTGCTGTGCCCTCTCCCATGGCACCTGGCACACCAGGGCCTGGCACAGCAGCCACAGTGGCCTCAGCCCCCCCATTCTCAGCTGTTGCCCTGCTTACGGCTGCCCACAACAACTCCCAGGATGGCCAGCAGCTTTTCCTGACCACGACAGCAGCACAGGTCATCTCTGGCATCTTCGTATGGTCAGCACTCATCGTCACCTTCCACCAGGTATGGGCTGCAGCAGAGATGGGGCTCGGCACAGGGGTTGGCATGAGAGCAAAACTATCGATTGCCCCCAAGTCCATTGCAAATCACTCAGCTCCGGATAAGTATTTCTTCCTGTTGCTGCCCAGAGGCAATATCCCTGCTGTCAGGAGCCTGGTACTGGCAGCTCATAAGGATGGACTTTGCCCACACTCTCTCCAGGTGGTTGCCAGAGCCAGGAGAGGCTGCAGGGCATTGGCACTGCCCAGAGGCAACACCCACTGGGGCATTTGGGGTGTTTGAGGGGCACAGCACCAGCTGCCTTGAGGCATACTCCAAGTAGGCATGGTTTGGGGGGCTGTGCAGGTCCATGCTGCTGAAGGCAACCCTGGGGCAAGCTGCCATCTCCAAGCACTGGGATGGGGCTGCTCAGGGAGAGAACATTCCTCACACAGCCCAGGGAAGAAACCTGATTTCCACATGTTTTCATGCAAAGGATTGGCCCAGGGACTGGGATGGGGCCTGTTGTGTCTGTTCACTGTGATGGGTCTGTGGTGGAAAGGTGGAAGAGCTCTCACCCCAGAGAAGAGGGTTACCACAGCACCCCTGTGGGCTTGGGGGCACCTCTAATTCCTATCGGACCTGTGGCAGCCACAACTCTGCATGCTGGGCACTTTGCAGATCTACACACACCTGAGGAATTACACCATCCCCAAGGAGCAGCGCTACATCATCCGCATCCTCTTTATCGTGCCTGTCTATGCCTTTGACTCCTGGCTCAGCCTCCTCCTCCTCGGCAGCCACCAGTACTACGTCTACTTCGACTCAGTGCGTGACTGCTATGAAGGTGAGCACAGCATCTGCTCAGCAGGGAGGCTGAGGGCAAAGCGGGGCTCTCCTCTTGCTGACCTGTCTCTGGAGCGTCTTGGATTGTGAAGTGACAAATCTCCATCACTTTCTCTTCCACTTCCCACTCTCTCTTCCTCCATGCAGAAGTTTTCCCCTTCCTTCTCTGTCAGCAGCAGGGAGGGGATGCCCCAAAGAAAAACACAAGCTGGTGCCTTTCAGATACAGGCTTGGAGGGACCTCAGCACAATGGCCTTGGGAAAGAGGTTTTCTGGCTGCCAGTGGGGTACAAGTGCAGCTTCTCTAAAACACAAGGCAGATGTACCCAAGAAATTGGGGAGTTGGGGTGTGTTAAAGTGCAAGAGAAACTTGTCAGGATTAAGGCTGTTTTTCTACCTTGTTCCTCTCTTCCTCAGGAACTAGTTGTGTGGACATTTACATTAATTCAGGTTTGGAGTATATGAAAAATAAGTGGTGGGGATGTCCACGAAAACTGTTCAGGACTCACTTCTTGCTGGCCACCACCCATTTGTGCTGCCCCTTAGCAATTTTGAGGTACTTCCATGCATAGTCCCTGGATAGACTGTGTGTGCCCAGAGGAGCTACTGTGTCTGTAATGAACTCTGTGCACATAGTGCAATATGACTGACTCCACTTGGAAATCAGATGTATTTGACCTGCTGCTCCTCTCACTGGGCTTCCACCCACCAGCATCTTGATGCAGTGCCAGCTTGGATGAGGGAACACCTGAGCAGGAAGGAACGTGAGATGAAACAACCCTATCCAGGACTTCCATCAGTCCTGCTGATCATGTCTGCCCTTGCCTTGGCAGCTTTTGTGATTTACAGCTTCCTGAGCCTGTGCTTTGAGTACCTCGGAGGGGAGAGCACCATCATGACAGAGATCCGAGGGAAGCCCATTGCGTAAGTCCCAACATCTTGTGAGTTCCTTCTCCACCCACTTTCCCCACCCAGCACCCCCAAGGTTATCCCCTCACCTTCTGCTTCCAGGTCCAGCTGCTTTTATGGGACCTGCTGCCTTCAGGGCATGTCCTATTCCATCGGGTTCCTGCGCTTCTGCAAGCAGGTGGGTACCCGATGGGGAGCATCGACTCCACTTCCCTCAGATGAGGGCTCTCTGGGTGTCAGGTTCCTTCCCCACTGGCCTGCCAAGGGGGCTTAGCTTCACTATTCTCTTACTATGCTGGATTTGGAGGCTGTTTTCCTCTGAGGGAGGCAGGTCACCAGCTCACTGGCACCTGGCCAGCGCAAGGCTGCTCGATGTCCTTGCCTCTGACTCACTGCTGAGTCAGGGTCTCCTCCCACTGCAGAGCTCAGATTGCCATCTCTGTCCAGTCCCAGGTTAGCCTGGATGCTGTCTCACTCTCCAGGACTGCACTGTGGGCTGAATCCTGTCGCCCGTCTGTCCCCAAGCCCTCTGATCCCCCACCTTGGGCTGGCTACACTGCCTTTCAGGAAACCCCACTCCCTCACGTCTGCAGACTTTGTGCTGATTCGTATTTCACCCCACAGCACTGCTCTCTCCTCGGTGTGTGTGTGTCCCTGGAGCAGGGGGGTGGGATGTGGGGAGTGGGATGTCCTGCTGCCTGTGGTACTCTGTGTCTCTCCCCTGTGCAGGCCACACTGCAGTTCTGCATTGTGAAACCCCTCATGGCAATTATCACCATCATCCTGCAGGCGTTTGGGAAGTACCACGATGGAGACTTCAAGTGAGAATGCTGGGTGGGGCTGGGGGGGTGAATGGGAAAGGATGGATCCCTGCTTATCACCAGTGTGTCCTGCCAGTCTCCCCAGGAAGCTGCTCCATGGATAGTGAGAGCACTGTGAGCCCAAAGTGTCCCCAAAGGGGAACAGAGACTCACTGCTCCCAAACAATAAAGGGACAAAACTCCTGTGAGCCATAATAAATAAAATAATAAATAAAAAGAGGTCCCACCAACAGAGGAGAAGCTGCTACCTCTGCCCTTCTCCCCCTCCTGGGCTGTGTTCTACCCCACAACAAAGCTGTGCACCCTCCCCTTCCTCATTTGATCTGTCTTTGCCCCCAGTTGCACTTGCTTTGCTCCCCACAGCCCAGGGCAACAGCTCTCTCTCTCTCTCTGCCTGTAGTGTCCACAGTGGATACCTCTACATCACCATCATCTACAACTTCTCTGTCAGCCTGGCCCTTTATGCCCTTTTCCTCTTCTACTTTGCCACCATGGACCTGCTACGCCCGTTTAAGCCAGTCCTCAAGTTCATCACCATCAAGGCCGTCATCTTCCTCTCCTTCTGGCAAGGTGGGTCCCACCATGGCCACCCAGCGCTTCTCCTCCCATAGTCCCACCTGGATCAGGGTTGCAGGAGAAGAACTGATGTCTCTCCCTTCTCCCACACAGGGACACTGCTGGCAATCCTGGAGAAATGTGGGGTGATCCCTGAAGTTCAGATCATCGATGGGAAGGAGGTGGGAGCTGGGACAGTGGCTGCTGGCTACCAGAACTTCATCATCTGTATTGAAATGTTCTTCGCTTCTATTGCCCTGCGCTACGCATTCACCTGCCAGGTGTACAGGGAGAAGAAAGAAAACTCAACAGGTAACTCTTCCTCACTTCTTCCTTTCTTCTAAGACTAAGGAAAGAGGAAGCCTCTCTTATTTTATTGGTATCCCATTACCAATGGGATGCTAAAAGCTACAAGAGGAATTTCTTTATCCTGTGCTCCATGCGTTTCTTCTCCCTCTTCCCCCATGACACCCACAAGCTAAAACAAGGGGGGTAAGGAAACCTTGGTATGGTTGGGCAGGATTAGGGGATGTTGGTAATACCCACATGCTGTTGGAAAGGATCCATCCTATTTGGAACATGGAGTTGGGATTGCCTTCCTTCTCCTTGGAACTTGGAGCTGCAAGCTGATGTGGCCCACAATGAGCCCATGATCTTGAATTTCTAAGGAAAAGTGTCCTGGATCACTTGGGCTCATTGATTGTCTGCTGTCCCATCACTCTCCTGCTCCTGTTTTGCAGCAAACCTTGCCCCGATGCAGAGCATCTCGAGTGGGCTGAAGGAGACCATCAGCCCCCAGGACATCGTGCAGGATGCCATCCACAACTTCTCACCCGCCTACCAGCAGTACACCCAGCAGTCAATGCAGGAGGCAGAGCACAAAGCGCCAGGGGAGAATGGGCATGTGGCCTCCAAGATAGATGGACAGAGCAGCAGGAAGAGCAAAAACATTGAAAAGAGAATGCTAATCCTGTCAGATGAAGAGTTGTAGGAGGTATCAGAAGAAACACTGAAACTGAAGAGGTGTCTTGAGGCTGAGACAGCCTGGGCTAATCAGATTACTGAGAAGCCAGGAACTCTATCCCAAAAGCCAGTCTCTCAAAGGGAAGATGCAATAACCCAGAAAAGGTTAAGTCAAATAGTGCCAGCTTCTCTGTCATGGATGGAGCCATACTGCCCTGCTGCTGCTGTCCCTCTGCCAGCCCTGTGCCAGTGCTGGGAGATGCCAGGCAGGGAGGGGAGCCAGGGTGCAGGAGAGACCAGCCGCCCTCATCCTCCTCTTACCTCCAAGCAGTGCTGAGGCCTGAGAGAAATGCTTTTCTCAGCACAGTTCTGCTCTAGTTTCTCCCAATTTGAGTAAAAAATGATCTCCAAGGGCTCCGTGGAGAAAACCAGCCCAGGAAGGTGACTTCACTTCACCTCAAAACCCGGTAAAGGTTGAAAGACGTCATTCCTTATTTTTACATCTTTCCCCCTCTCCTTCTCACAGCAAAGCTTATAGAGATGTGCAAAAGACCTTTACCATAGAGAAAGTCATCCTCTTCTCCCTCCAGATGTGGATGCAACTGTCCGAGTAACTCCCCCGGGAGTGTGCAGGACCTCACTGGGAGTAACCAGAGGTCTGCAGCTGCATTTGTGACAGCTGCCGGTGACAGAAGTGCTTGTTTATGTCTAAACCAGTTTATCTCTGAACGGATCAGAAGTTAAAAGGGATTCCAGCTTCCTTATCAGAATCTTTATTAGGGAACTAGACTGTGACTGGTGGTGGTAGGAATTCACTTACTGAGAACTGTCTGTTCTTCCTAATCCTTCACTATTCCCCATCCCTGGGCTTTGCCTGACCTGTGGGACAGCAAACAGGAGCTGAGCCCAGCTGGGTGACTATGGCAAGGATAGAGAGGTGCTAAGGAATGTTGCCATGTGGGGCAAGACCACAGACAAGGGAAGACTGTGTATGGAAGAATGCTCTTCATATCAGTGATGGTGAGCTCACATCTTCTGTTAAGACTTCTTTTCCTTTCTTCCCCAATTTTTAGTCTAATTCTTATTCTCCTGTTAATGAGATGATCCCTGGGAATGAATTTAGGCACTGGTCGGGCTGTCATCTGGGATGGTAGCTGTCTAGTGGAAGAATGAAGGCAAATCTACAGCCTCAGATTTGCAGTTATGTGGCAAACAAACTGATGGATAAGGCTTGGAGCCCTTTTAAACACAACTCGTAGAATTCGGATCTTTTTTTTCCCCTGCTCTTAGCTGCAAAATGTAAATCACAACACAAAATTATTTATTTTTTTTCTAATAAACAGCAATTTCTAGCACAGAGCAAGCAAGCGTTTTCACTGAGCTCAGCAAGCAAAGCCCACGATCTGCCTGTTCCTGCTATAGTGCTGATGCTCTTAAGCTTAACGTCCTCCCTGCCCCTCAATGCTGGCCCAGCAGAAATACCTGCACACGCAGCATCCTGCACATTTTGGCATTCCTACAGGATTTGTGCTCATCTTTTTCACTCCACAAAGAACGTGCGTGTCTTCAGCTTCCTCTCCTTGCAGCACAGCACCTCTTCCAACCCTCACCTAAGCCGTGGATGCAGTGGTTCCGAGGTGCTCGATCTGGTTTAGCTAAGCTAAGCCCAGACTCCAGCACCAACAAGACAAGCTCTGTTCAGTATTATTGAAGAAATCTTACCATGCTATAGCCCAGACTCTACATGAGCAACCTATAGTTCAGCCAGTCCTGCAAGTCCCTCTGGTCCGAAGGAGCACTGCTCATACCTGCTCAGCCTGTGAGACTGCTGCCACTTTTCCTGCAATAAGGTCCATAAACAAGAGCCAGATGCTCTGCACTTCCAGGCATTCATCCATAATCCTGAGAGCAAGACTGTCCTGCATTGAAAGTGCAGCATCAGTACTCAGGGACAAGGCTGCTTGGCTTTGTAATGCAGCCAGCACCGAAGCAGGGATATCGCAGCTGAACATCTTAGTCTTCACCCCTCTGGGAGAGGACAGCCACAGATGCAGGAACAGAGGCTGCTCTGGCTCCTGGGGCGAGGACAGACTGCAAAGGTGATGATGGCACATCTGCTGGCACACTCACAGCCGCTGAGATAAAGACTTGCACAAGAACACAGCAAGAACCGTGGTTGTACTTCATTGCACAAATGATCGACTCCAGTGTATAATGGGCTGCCTCCATTGCTCTGCCAGCAGGTGCAATTCCCATTGCAGACAATAACATTTGCCTATTTATGTCAAGCCCTGATTACTGTATTATATGTAAAACAGATCTTTCTTGCAAGCCAAACAAGGGGGGGGGGGGGAGAAAAAAAAAGTCAGCTGTGACTCATGCAAGTCAGCAGTGTGATACCAGCCTGAAGGAGCCGTGCTGGGCTGGACACCAGCTGGCTGCCGCGACGGCAACAGCAGGCACCCTCCCTGCTCCAGCCGGCGCGAGCTGGGCCTCCTGCTCGTCCTTTTTCTTGGAGAGGGGAGAGAGGCAAGAGCTGACGGCTCAGGCTGGGCACTGTCACAGCCCTCAAACCCTCAGGCTGTCAAAAGGCATCCATGGGGAGTAGAAATGCCAACGGTGGTGTAGGCTGGACGCGGTCTCCTCTGCTAATGCGTCTCCTCCATCTCCTCAACAAGGACACGGGGAAAGCTGGCGGCGAGCACACGGGTGACCTACACAGGAGCCTGCTGTGCCTGGAGCCACGCCAGTAGGCAGCCCGGGAGGAACAGGCGTCTCTCACTGCCAGCAGCAGGCTCCGGTGGTCGGCAGATTTGTTTTCCCGTTGTCGCTTGTCCTCAGGGTTTCCCCAAGGACAAGGCTGAGCTGCAGCTCTCAGATCTCCTGGTGCTTTTTGGGCTTGGATCAGGCAGGTTTACAGCCCACTCAAGTCAGGGATGATCGCCACAGGGCAGACCCTGCCACTACACCTGCTGGAGCTCAGGCTGACCTCCCTAAAAGCAGAGGGGAAGGAAGGCAGCTGCTGGCACCACAGCAGAGGCAGCTCTCACACATGGCTGCTCACTGCACAGCACCCAGAGACAGACACTTCTTTTTTTGGGTGCTAGCACTCACCAACAAGTCTCTGGGCCCAGCTGCTGACAGGCACCAGACTGCCAGACCTGTGCCAGAGAGGAGGATCTGTGCTTTTACCACGCTGTTCACAGAGACCTTCTATGCTCCTCCCCTATGCATGGTGAACGTCACTTTCCTTTCACTTCTGAACCTCCACTTGGCCCATTCCTGATGCCCCCTTCCTCCTGAACTAATGATCCTCTAACCCTCCAATAGTCACAACTGGCCCACGTCCCTGTCCCCTCTGTTGTCACCAGCTCCTCGCTGCAGTGACTCCAGGCAGCAGCCAAAGCAGCTGATGATGCTTTTTTTTTTTTCTCAGTACAGGCTGCCATCACCCCCAGGCTTCACCCACGTGCCTGCTCAGCCAAGCCTGCCTGGCCCCACCTAATGACCATCCATTACCTGCTGACACACAAAGCCTTTCAGCCCTGCTCCTCTCCACTTTGCCCTACCACTTAATTTCAGCTTTGGCCAACACACCCATCTGTCTCCAACCTACTGCCTCAACACCAAGTGTTTTACCCCCTTCAGCTGTTCCCTCAAGAAACTCGACCACTTGAAATAGGGAATTATAGCCAACACAGCCCCTGAAAGCTCACTGGCACAAGGCATGACCTTTTAAAAGGCCCCAACAGGGAAAAGCAAAAAGATGAAGTATTGATGTAAGAGGTTAAAGCAGTTTATTCACAAGCAGTCACACAGGGAAACCATGAAGGGATATTTCATTACCCAAAGGAAGAGTGTCTCTCCAGCACTTTTAAGATCACAGTCAGTGTCTCCAAGCCACAAGTGGCTTTGCTCAGCATCACGACTGCAGGCAGGTGCCTGCTGAGCTGTCAGTCCTGCTTGTGCTAACACAGACATGCACCGATTGTGCACAAAGACAGAGCCCCGGGGTTAGGAACCGACATGGGACCGACCTGACAAACAAGAGCTATCCCTAGAGCACATTCCAAGTGTCCCAAGAAAGCACCACAGCAAGGCTGAGATGGGCTCCAGGAGGCTGGGTCAGATGACTGCAAAAGCCCAAGGTGCCATCCCACTCGCCTTAGCCCAGCCTGCCTCCAAAAAAAAAAAAAAAACACACAGCGCTCACCACAGTGCCACAGCCAGCCGGGTGCTGCACTGGGGACAAGCAGCAAAAAAACCCGAGGAAAACACTCCACTGAAGATCAATTCAGGCTCCAAAACGCTGACCATAGACCAGGGCAAGTCTGAAACCAGAAAATGCTTTATTGGAAAGGTACAAAAAAAACAGTCACTGCAGCTAAATTTACAGCAATAAATTACGTTGTGGCTGTCAAGAGAAGTAATGGGACACATACACAGGGCTATTCGCCTTACAAACAGGAACCCACATTGCTTGGTATATCAATAATTTATTTTATAATAAAAAAGCAGCACAAAAATAAATATTGAAATGAAATTACTGAGTAACCACAGAGGATAGAATGAGCTGGTGATAAAAAACAACTTAAAACAGAAGACTTCTATCATTAAAAAAATGAAAGCAAGTATCCACCATCTACAGAAACACCCCAGCAGACTGAAATACAGACGAAGGAAAACAAATCCACATTACAAAAGTTTTCTCGGTTTTGTTTTGGTTTTTTTTTTCTTTTTTTTTCCTTTTTTTCCTTTTTCTTTTTTTTTTTTTTTTAAATAAAAACAATCATGACAATGAAGTTTAAATGATTCGAGAGAGAAAAAACTGCCACCTTCTCCTCCTCCCCGGGTCTGAGCCATCCTGTGGCACAGCTCGCCTCGTCCCTCCCCGCCGTCCCGGAGCTGCCGTGGCACCCAGGTCTCTGCACTTTGTGGTCTCCTCCCGGCAGACGGTAGAGTTGGGCAGGAGGAGAGACGCTGCCTTGTTTCAAAGGGATCTGGAGCTGCCCTGGAGGGAAAGGTTCCCCACTCCCAACAGAGAGC